ACGGCGGTGGTGTGGTGACCGCGACGCCATCCACTCCACGACCGTACTGCCACTCTGGGAGACGCCATCTTGATCGATGTGCTGCTGTTTGATTCTTTGTCCCTCCGTGAGTGTGAGCGTGTGTGTGTGTGTGCACGCGTGTGCATGCAGAGCCGTGAAAGTCCCCCGAACACTGCGCTGCACTCTGAAGTACCAAAGCCCCCCTCCACTGTCTTGCTCCCTCACCCAACTCTCTCTCTCTCTCTCTTTCTCTCTCTCTCTCTCTCTTCCTCTCTCTCTTCCTCTCTCTCTTCCTCTCTCTTCCTCTTCCTCTCTCTGCCTGTCTCTGCTCCTCTCTGCCCAAAGGCAACAACAAACAAGGCTGCGGCTTCAAATTCGAAGCCACAGGTATTCCGAGCAAGGCCTGGGCGGTTCAACTGACACCCAATTTACGTAATATCTGCCTGACTTCTAAAAAAAAAGGAGATAGAAAAAGTGTAAAGCATCAACACCAACACTGGAAAACTGAAAGGGATTTTTCCGCATCTTCACATTTGCGTTATAGCTCACTGTTTTTGTTTTCTTGCGAAGTGTTTGTTCGCGTCACAAAGGACACTTTTCGTAACTGGTTCGGGCCAGAATCGTTCGCAAGGTTTTAACAGTGTTAGAGGTCTAACACAGCCTTGAGTTTGGGTCCATAAAAGGTGCTAAGTTTAAGATTTGTTTCATCAGTTAGCAGATCGTCGATGGCTATGGCTTGGTATATTTGCAACTCTATAACCGACCTTTTTATGTAAGAAATGTGAAGTAAAGACGGGAGACGGATTATATAGACTTGTTGCCGAACACCACTCCAGATGGTCGACAGTTTTTTTTCAAAAGTTCTAGTGATCAGGATACGTCTTTCAGTGTAACAACAAGTAGTTATTGTTTTTTTGTCATTTTACGAATGTATTTGTTACTTCACAATTCCGAACATTTAGTGTAAAAACAAGTCTTTCACGTCAAATCACGTTCCGATTTCCAACAGTGTGGGCTCTTGCTCCACTGCCCATACCACAGATTTTGTACACCTTTTAATGACAGGTCGTATTTTTTTTTTAATTTTGATTTTTGAGGACACGTCTGTTGTGGCTGGACACGTAATACCTTGAGGCTTACGTCTCCTTACGTCCGGCCGCCGCTCCTCTAGCGTGTCATCGCGCCCGTAATATATGAGTTTTTGTTGCGGTAAGTGTTCCGACAGTGTTTGAAATATCGCGCGGCCGGCCGGCCGTCGTACGGAGTGTCTGACGGACAACCACCTGTGACGTCTTGTTCAGCTGCTAGTGCACACCTCCCCTCCTCTCTCACTCTCTTCTCTCTACTGCTGATGACGTTTTCTGTCCCCTCTCCTAACCTCCTTTTACCATTTCCTGCGAATATCTTTACCAAGTAAGCAAACATTAGTGTTTATTTTTCCCAGTACGGAGAAAGGTTTACTGCACCCCCCAAAAATTCACTCCTTCAAACCCCGTGCATAATATGCACAAGCTGCCCGCTCAGCTGAAATTTTTTCCAAATCTTCTCAAATTATCATTGGTCCAAATGAGGAAATCGAATTGTTTTAGTAGGTATTGTATACTTTGGTAAAAATGTTAGTATCATCAGCAAAAGGACGAAACGCATACTGTCCTCCCTTAATCTCCTGCAAATGTTTTCCTTATTTTTTTGGCCTTTGCCGCACGCGCGCGGCCGCGGCAGATTAGCGGCGCGGAGACTGATGGCGCGCTGTTACGAACACTTTCGCTTTGACCCGTCTGCCTGAGCGCATCGGCCGTCACAGCTCAGGCAGGCCGGCCGGCCTTACAAATGGCACCTGGGCGATGGGCGCGATTCGCACGGCAAACGCGCGCGTGCGGGCGGCACGAGGCGCCCAAGCCTAAAACCCTTCTCTTATACATCGTCATCCGTGCACATATTTTGTAACGTCAGTGTACATATTTTCGTAATTTTACAAAAGAGATTGTTTACAATCTCTGATTTGTTTCTTCAAAAGTTTCATTTTTTGCCAATTTCTCTATAGAAATATTTCAGGTTTCTCAAATTTTCTAGTTGTGCCATTTATTTAATATATTTTTTTTTTTTTGAAACATGTTTCTGACATCAACATCTCTGCTTCAGAACCAGGGAGTAAATATTCACTAAATAGGCCGGAATGGCGCGTAGCATTGCCCAACGGCCGCGCGCTAATAGCCGCCGCGCCGCCCTGGGGAGGTGGCGGCCCGCCACACTCGGCCCGGACGCTTTGGGACCCCCTCCAAACACGTCCGTTTAGGGCGCCCGGGAGCCGGCTCGGGTCGCTCTGCTGTGGCAATGCAAGGCGTTGGAGGAAGCAGGTGGGGCAGCGGTAGCAGCAGCAGCGGCTGCAGCCCACTTCCGACACATATGGCTATTTATTACGCATTCTTTCACAAGACGCGCTATAGGGAGCCTGTTTGGAAGAGGAAGATGCAGTGGGCCACCACGGCCCAAACGGTGGGAGGACAATCGCTACCGTATTTTGTTTGCGGAGGGAAATTGGCAGTCGAACGGCTTAAGGTGGGCGAGAACATAAAGGACATTGCGGACACCGCCTTTTCCGCTCATTAACCTCCAGAATTCAGCTGGATTTTGCTTTTTCTATGAAAATATTTGCAGGACGCGCTTTTTCGTACAGTTAATTGTATATTGGGCTCAATCATGTAATCGTGTCGTTGAGATGACTGGAAGGACCAAAACCAAAACTACGAATGTAACCAACGCTTTTCTCCACTCAGATTCTTTCTTTTTTTTTTTTTTTTTTTTTCATTTTTGGAGATTCTGTCAACTGTTTGTTTAGCAAACTCAATTTTTAGAGTCAATACCCAAAATATGTTTCTCAATCGTGGACGACACGATGACTGTGTTTCTTTTCCCTTTTTGCAGCCTTTCTTTACCGTAGTGCAACTTGCGTCCCGCGTCGGCACGCGGACCGGCTCACAGCTCTATCAGTAACAACTTACTCCCATCCTGTTTGGAGCAAAAAAAAATGCGAATGTTTTCTGTTGTTGGCGGTTGAAATAATCCCTCGTCTGCCTAGTAGAGAAACTGGGCCATTAATTACCGAGATAAGAGAGTGGCGAAAATTGGAGGATTGCGCGCTTCCTTTGCGAATTCGATACCATATCATTAATAACTTTAATTGGCCGCGGATAGTTTTCAGGATGTTGTTTTTTTTCTTTCCTCCTGTTGCGAGACTGAACTGGAAATACCAACACAACAACCATCTTCCTGCTAGACTGGGCCCTACGAGACAGGCAGACAAACGGCGCCCGCTGCCTTGTATGTAGCTCGCAATATGTTGGCGTTGGCGGCGCTGTTTTGGGGCGCCGCGTCCGCGCGCGTGGCGCAACACCAGTGTCATTAAATGCACACAACACGCTGGCCAAAGTGCAGTAAGAAACGGAAAATGCAACTCCGGACGCGAGTGTTTAGAAACATATGCGAGGGCGCGACAAAAACTGAGTTGATACTTGCGGGCCGTCTCTACACTGAAAACGCGTGTTTGTATGTTTAACACTTGTAGGTGTGTGAATGCCTATTTCTACACTTAAAAGAATAAATGTTTAATTTTCCTTTAAAATTTACCCGCGTTTGTGCTTTAGGTGTAGTAATGACTTTCACACACCTGCAAGTGTGCGACATTCGCGCACGAACAATGGGCCGCACTCCCGCGCACTCTCCGCCGGGCACCCTCTGGGTTGAGAATAAGGCAATGTAATGACGAAAATTAAACGCTTGGTCAAGTGAAGTGTTTAGCATTTAGCGCACTTATTGAAATGGCTGCGAGGACATTAGTCGTGTTCCCTCGTTGTGCGCAGGCCGGCTGCTCTATTTGGACGGCTCTCGGGAGGAAACGCTCGCGGCTCGCTAAGCATGATGAATGAACTGCTTCTTTCTCTCCCACACATTTGCATAGTATGAATCGATTTTTCACCCGGCGCCGCGCGGAGCAGAGTGCGCCGCTGGTGTGTCTGCCTTCCTCTCGCACGGAACGCGCCGCAGCTCCTGTCGTGTGTGAGGATGAAGAAGAAAAAGAAAAAAAAGGTGTTGTGATTAGAATATTTGACCGACGTGGCGTGAACGGGGCTGTGAGTGGCGTACATGGCGGTGAAAGCGGCCGCGGCGGCAACTGCTGTGGGCACCGCCAGTGCTAATGCAGGCTAATCCGTAATTATTAATTATGCTAAATGCGGTATCAATTCATACTCAACCTCCTCGCGCAGCTGCAGGGAGGGCGCGCTGCAGGGGGTCGGTCGGTAGCGCGTTTATCTGACTGTGTCGAGCAATAAGGGAGGAAGGAGGAACAATCAATTATCGATGCACTTGTGATGGACATGAAAATGAAAGCACAGTAACGCATTCCAAGGGCCAAGGCCCTGGCACTAAGTGACACGTGGCGTTCGTAATCAATCTTGACAGCGTTACCCTGTCACAAATCGTTGCACAAAAATGGAAATGGATACATTGTGTATGCAAGGTAAAATAACGACCAATATTTTTGTTTTCCATGTTTTCCAGGCATCCGACCGACCGAGACCCAAACCTAGAAATGAAATCAAGACGCCGCGAGAGCAGCTGCTAGAGTCAATCCTGAAGGGGAAGAAGCTGCGACCGTCTGTCTGTCCGCTGAAAAAAAGAGGTAAGAAGTGAACCATTTCAGTAGTATGCCATTACTGACGTTTGCAAACTTCGGTTTTAAGTTTAAACACATTAAAACGTGGCGAGCTGCGTTTGCACCAACACGCCTCATCGGTCTGGAAGTATCTGCTTGATGAGGGTTTAATAGGTAGGGATTTTAACGTCGGAAGTTTTTCCGGAAAAAAATGATATCTTCCAGAAAAATTGAAAGAGATTACACATTTTAGGGAAAAAATCAAAAGATTACACTTTTCAGGAAAAAATCAAAAGATACTTTTCTGGAAAATTTAAAATCCCTGGTTGCGCGGGAGCTCCTCTCATTCTCCGCGTCCGTCCTACAATTACAGGTTAACGTTCGAACAAAAGCGAAAGTAGTGGTTGCGCGCGGCCATGGGCGGCCAGCTGGCCGTCCCGGCTGACCCTGTCGGGGCGGCCCCGGGGACCTGTCAATGGGGGGCGTGGGGACGGTGCTGTGCGCTCGCGCCGCACTAAGAAAAGGTGTACCCGTATATTTTTATAAAGGAGGAGTAATAGAATTTATGTCCTTGTCCTGACCGTTCGTCCCGTAATACGTTATATACCGGTACGTGGAAGAAGCCTAAAACTCGCTCTGGAAACCCAAGTGTGTGCTTGAATGCAGCACCTTCTGCATACCTACATTGTATACAGGAGGTACTGTGTACTTGGCAAGTATGCAGGAGGTAGTGTGTACTTGGTCAAATATGCAGGAAGTAGTGTGTACTTGGTCAAGTATACGCTTATACCTCCATTCACGTCAGGAGGAGATTTAGTGAGTTCTACGTCAAGTACTCAGTACCTCCTTCATACATGTTGGTATACATGCAGTAGGTACTGCATTCAAGTACAAACTTGGGTTTAGCGGTGTGAATACGTGTCATGTCAGGTGTTAGTTTCAGTGTGGGATGTTTATAGAGGACTCACCTGCTAAAAAAAATAAATGACGCACTTCTTCAAGCATTTCTGTCTTCTTCAAGAGGAGACCCAAAATTTATTTTAAAGAGATAAAATAAACAAAATGTGGATAAGTCAGGGCTTGTCAACCTTTTTTTCAGTGTGCGTGTACTACACTGATAAACTAAGTGTTCAACTGCTCAACACTTGAAAGTTTGCAACTGCAAATTGATAATACTTGCAAGTGTCTGGATGTCAGTGTATGGATCTCATTATTGATAGGAATGCCAAAAAGCAAACGTGTTATCAATGTGTTCTCAATCCCGAATAACAAAAGGCAGTCGTATTAGCAGCCACTTTCTTTTGGTGGGCGCCCCCCGACCCCTTCCCGATCGGTGCAACTGCACTCATCTCCATCGTAATCGTAAATTCGACTGCTCCCCTACAGCACATAACCTGCTCGTCGCTCCCACTCTTTATGGAGGATGATGAGGTGAGGTGCGTGCTGAGCCCTAGCCTATGCGAGACTGAACTGGAAATACCAACACAACAACCATCTTCCTGCTAGACTGGGCCCTACGAGACAGGCAGACAAACGGCGCCCGCTGCCTTGTATGTAGCTCGCAATATGTTGGCGTTGGCGGCGCTGTTTTGGGGCGCCGCGTCCGCGCGCGTGGCGCAACACCAGTGTCATTAAATGCACACAACACGCTGGCCAAAGTGCAGTAAGAAACGGAAAATGCAACTCCGGACGCGAGTGTTTAGAAACATATGCGAGGGCGCGACAAAAACTGAGTTGATACTTGCGGGCCG